CAACAACGACATATAAAAAAGAAAAGTAACTCCCACAGACCTTAACTTTTCACACTTATTATTTTTACTTTTAGACAGTAAAATTAGGAGCAAGTGATAGGAGTGTCGACGTGGAAAAGAAACACGTCAAACAGGTCACCACCTGATTCACCCGACTTCCGGGAGGGCAGTTGGGTCATTTGAAATCCATAACCCAAGAGAGAGAAAGAGATAAGCTCTGAACAGCACTCGGCAGAGAGAGAAAGAGAGAAAGAGAGAAGGAGAGAGAATCAGAATGGTGACAGAACAAGAGATATCGCAAGCGTTACAAGCCCTAATCCACGACTCCACTTCCAACCCTAACACCACCACCCCGACCTTGACCACCTTAAACGACGTCGTCCAGCAGCTCCAGTCCCGCCTTGGCGTCGATCTCTCCCACAAGACCGACTTCATTCGGGCTCAGATCCACTACCTCTTCCGATCCCACCCACCCACTACCCATCCCCAACCCCAACCTCAACAAATTCCTCACCCTCAGCACCCTAAAGACCATTTTGCCCTTCACCAACCCCCTAATTACCATCACCCTGCCCCCTCCGCCTTCCAGACCTTCTCCTCCCAGCCCCCGCCTCCACTCCTGAAGCCGGAGCCCGCCTCCGCTGCTCCTCCGCCCGTTTCCGGTTCTAACACGCCCAAGGAGAGGTTAGTTTCCGCTTTTGTTTGTTTTTTTTTTTTTTTTGGGTAATTTCTGTTTGGTTTCCGAGAAAATTGAGGGAGGGGAAAGTGGAATAATGTTATAGAGGCTTGGCACGTTGTATTGTGTTTGGTTAATTTGCTATGTTTCAGTTTGCTTAGCGTGAAATTGGCATTTTCTCGGACACTTTTGTGTTTACGTACACTTAGGGTTTAAGGAAATTGGAAATTGCACATTCACATTTAGTTTCCTAGGTTTAATTCCTTAGTATTTTCTTGCCGGCTGTTTGGTTTCCAATAAAATTTGAGCAACAAATTGCGAAAATATTGTAGGCTGAAGTCTTAAGCTTTATGCCATTTGGGAAATGAAATTTAAGCAATGGCAAGAAAATGGATAGTATGCTTTGGAGGAGTATAAGCTTTATGCTGTTTGGGGCATGGGAAATAGTGAAACTAAAAACTTGAAAATTGCGCAGAGAAAAGTATGCCGTTTTCAATTGCTCCCTATGCCCGGCATTGGTATTTAGGCTTACTGTAGAATGCCGTTTTCAATTCTACCCGTACGGCTCTAGATGTTTTTTGGTCTCGTATAATATGTTTTGCGTCAGTCGTATATTGTATGTAAGATGCATTTGTTTGCAGAGGCTGTTTGGTCTCTCATGCATCAAGTTTTATTTATTTAAGTCTTGGTTTGGAAGTAATTAACAGGGAAAGCTGCTGACATGATGTAGTTGTTCTAGTAAGTTGGTGCATAATGGTTGTTTGATGTTTGGGTTTATGTTTCTGTGCATTTTATCATTTATTTGCAGCCCTAAGCCTAAAGCTAAGAGAAAAGGTGGCCCGGGAGGTCTAAACAAACTTTGTGGTGTTTCACCTGAGCTTCAGGCCATTGTTGGCCACCCAACTCTCCCAAGGACTGAGGTTCAGACTCATCCATTTGTGCTATTTGTTAAAGTTCATTTGTTATCTGCCAGGAGGTTTTTTATTTTATTCTCTTTTATATTTTAATTTTGAGTACAGATTGTTAAACAACTGTGGGCTTACATAAGGAAGAACAATCTCCAAGATCCCGGTAACAAGAGGAGAATTATTTGCAATGATGAGCTGCGAGTGGTTTTTGAGACAGACTGCACTGACATGTTTAAGATGAACAAGTTGCTTGCTAAACATATTATTCCACTCGAACCATCAAGTATGTATTTCATATAACAGTTCCCTCTATCCGGGTGTATGGGGGGTCACACTATTTCTGCGTGTTTTGTGTCATGGGTATAAAATATAATACATGCCTAAGGATTTTATGTTTTGGTGCTCTCAGAACCAGTAGTTCCCAGGAAGCCCAAGGTGCCCAAGAATGCTGTGGAGTCTGCAACGAAAAGTACAGAACCGAGTCCTTCCCTGATAATATCTGAAGCACTCGCAAATTTTTTTGGTGTTGGTGTAAGGGAGATGATCCAATCAGAGGTTGTAACGCGTATCTGGGAGTACATAAAGGTCCACCATCTGGAGGTAAGTGACTCCCCATTCTCAAAATAAATAGAAAATTATAAATTTATTTGGATTCAGTGACTGTTATATTGAAGTTTTCTGGAGTCTTTGTATCTGAATAGTTTGCATTGGTCATGCTCCAGCTGGGTGTCTTTGTCTATTTACTTTTTTAAGAAAAATTTGCTTGAGGTGTATGTAAATACAAATGAGTTTGAATTTTTTAGTTGATGTAAGAATTGTTTTTAAGTATTTTTAGCATATGGAATTATTTCTTGGGTGGTGTTTTAATCGATATGAACTTTTGGGTGGTGTTTTAATCTTAATAGTTCATATTGGTGATCCTCCAGTTGGCTTTTGCCTTGTATATTTACTTTTGTTATTTTTCTTGAGGTCGAAATAAATCAGCGTGGTCTGAATAACTGAATCTCTGTTGCATTGCTGACCTTTGGTAGTATAGTGTGTTTAGTCTAGTTTGTCACACCATTAGTAGTTGTTTACTATGGTCTCTTTGAGCATCGCTTGTTCGAGTAGTGCCAATTTGTATATCGTATGTGGGATTTCTCTTTTGTTTACTCTATATGAAGCATGATGATTAGTGGTCGGGATGTTTTCTGCGTTTCTCAAATGTTTACTTAATAGTCTGTCTAAGATTATTTAAGGTCCATTTGATAACCAATTTGTTATTTGTTTAGTACAGGAATAGTATGTGGGAGAAAAAGGAAGAAGGGAGAAGGAAGGATGGTGGAAAAAAGTTTTTAAAATGTGTATGGGTTGATACACATAATGAAAACTAAAAACCAAAAGCTGAAGACAATTTTAAGTTGTTTTCACTTTCAAGTTTTTGTTTAGTGTGATCTCCTTCATTTCTTCCTCCACCCTCCCACCACCTCCCTTTTTCCATTCCGAATATCTCCCATATACTTTCCACCTCTCTCTAGCACAAAAAATGAAAACGATAAACTACAAAAAGAAATGGTTATCAAACAGGCCCTAAGATACTTTTAGAACGCAATTACAAAATTGAAAAACAAAACAATTTGCACCTACACTTAATGGCATGAAGGTTGTGCAAGCATCTAATTTTTCTGTGCTAACCAGAAAATTTTTGCTGGTCCGTTCTCCACTAATTCATTGAGACTTGATAAGGTCAGAAATCAATTATATTAACGTTTAAACACATATCCAGGATCCTCAAAATCAAATGGCTATACATTGTGATGCAAAGCTTCAAGAGATCTTTGGTTGTGAAACCATCAATGCATTGGAAATACCAGATATTTTGGAACGTCATCACATATTCAGGAGATGATAATAGGTTTGTAGTCCATAATCCCTTTTTCGCTTTTTCTTTTTTACAAGTAGGTTCGTGGATGTTAAATTTATCACTCTTCTGTTTTGTTGTTGTAATTGTTCCTTATTTATCTCTTAATTGTACTACCCGCTTTAGTTCTTAGTAGATTCATTTTGACCGTTCATCCACATCATTGCTTCCATTCTTCTTTCCTTTTAATTAGGTATTAAATCTCGGTCCATAAGTTTTGATGCAATGTTGGTCATTGGTTGCAGTTGGAGGTCACAGGTGCGATAAAATTTGCGCCAAACCTTGTTAAAAGGTGATGCATCTCCTTGTACTTTGAACGGTTATGTAGCATATGTTTATTTTTAGGTAATGTTTGTAAGTAGAGTAATGGCACGGCAGGTCTTATTTTGCCGATGGCGCCATGGTTCGTCTGACTTGGCCAGGTAGGTTTAGAGTGAGCAGCTTCTGGAGTTTCTAACACCTGTAAAATAGCAGACACTAGAAAAAACAGAACCAAATGTAATCATGTTTTTTAACTCATTTCAGTTTACTAATGTATTTATTTAGTCGATGTCGGAGTTTACCTTCACTGTTTTACCTATGTTTAACAATGTATTCTTCCAGAACTTATCTCCGTTGTTTTTACCGTTGCCGGGGAAAATAAAAGTAACAGACTTTTCTGTGTAAAACAATGTCTTTGTCATGTATGTGCAGAAATTCCCGTGACGGACTCAATAAAACAAGATTTTGCAGTCGTTGTGGAAGACAATATTATTACTTAAGAATATGTTATAGTTTGTCTAATGTATTACTTGAGAATCTGCAATTCTTTATTAATAGTTCGGCGTCCCGTGACTTGGTTCCTGCCAACTTGTTCACATGACAATCCCGAAATTTGACACAAAATTATAAACATCCCTCATCCCTCCGCTATAAATCTGCTTCAAATTACAAGAACAAAATGTGCTCCTTTGAGAGAGTGAGAGAGAGAGAGAGAGAGAGAGAGAGAGAATGGCAAGGACTAGCAGCGTGGCGTCGTGGGCGCCAGTGATTTTGTTGCTTGCACTTGTTGCCGGATCTACGGCGGTTTCCATATGCAACATTGAATCCGACCAACTGAAGGAGTGTCGCCCGGCAGTAACCGGCAAATCACCAAAACCACCAACCAAGAGATGTTGCAGTGTTGTCCGCCAAGCCAACTTACCCTGCCTCTGCAACTTCAAGTCCGTCCTCCCTTCGATTGGGATCGACCCTGCGCTGGCTATGGCGTTGCCTAAGAAGTGTGGCCTGAAAACGCCCCGAGAATGCCATGGTAAGATGCCTAAGCTTCCTCAGTGATCAATATTTGTCGATTTTTGTTGAATTACATTGATTTCTAACTGTTACTTTCTTGGGTTCACTGCAGTTGTTTGAAGCACATGAGGCTCCGATGGTTTCATTTGATTGAAATATTTACCATGTTTTCAACGTATATTTCGGGAACATTTACCTGCTTTATTATCCAGTCACTTACCTCTGCGATTTTCTCTGTTGGAACCTTATGCATTATGCAATGAAAAAAGTTTGGTTACTACCTCAATATACACATAGCGTTACGTTATTCCACGAATTTATTCCGCAGCCTCGACGATTAATTCCGCCCTGTAACTAAAGTAAACATTGAATCCCTGCCGCAACAAAAGTAACATTGAACCCCTCAAACTCATATTCCCCAAATAATGCTGATGTTTTGCTTATACCATTCTACAAAATAAGCATCCTCAAAGTTAATGTACCTACTTGTAGCAACCGCGCACGGCTGTGTTTCGTGATTGTGTGCTTTGATTGTAAGGCTCTGACGAACTTAAACCAAAGGCTTTCATTTTAACATGCGGAGTGATTGCGAATTGGTCCTCCGAACATTGGTCTCATATAGGCATCATCGAACCTCCTCCAGTAAGAGTGTACGGTGTGTACTGGACTTTCCATCAACATGGATAAATTGTCCTTTGCACGACTGATATTTGTGGAAGCCGATTCTTCAAAGGAGAGCAAAGGCAGATTCAGGTCATCCGATATGTCCTTTGACTCTTTACGCTGAATGTTGCTAGTTGCAGCGTGCGGAAGCAAATAAGTTATAAGCGGCTTCGTCAGAAAGCCAAACACCTAATGTCAAAAAGCAAAATGAAGACATCATGAAACATTTTGAGGTGCAGATTTCATACGTACTGACATTTAGCTATAACTTTCTGATAAAAACAAACAAGATTCTCGACAACTTGAAGGTTGTTTAAATTGTAACAGAAATCATAAAAAGAACAATGCCTTACATACCAGCGTACTGAAGAGGACGACAATTATGGTGTTAGTAATCATCGTGGCATTGATGGGATCCAATGTGACACCAGAATATGTGAACTTCACGAGTGAAAAGCAGTCCGAGTGATCACACGAGTACGGTTATTCACATGACAGATATTACCAATTACTTGAACTAAAAAGAACATGCACGTGCACTCGCACCTGTTTAAAAGCCAGAGCAATAGAGACTGCTCCTCTCATCAACCCGGCCCACCATATGATTACCTGCATCAATATCAAGTTTGAATCCTTTCCTAAACGAGTAAAAAGATTAACAGCATAGGTACTAACCTGGTTCTTGAATGAAATTGACGATGATCTCTCAGCCCGTCTATTCATGTAATTGGAGACTGCTGACAGAGGGAATACAAACGCAGCACGTCCAATCAATATTAACATGAGTATCGTACTATAGATGCCCAACGAAGACCCTAAACTGCAAGAATTACAAGTTCAAGGAAAACAAGAAAAGGTACCCAAAGTTGGATGATCCAATGCATACAGAATTTAGTAAATCAATAACTTCATCAAAATTCAGGAGGAAGAGTACCTTAATTCAGTTAACTTCCACTTCTCGATGTCAAGAGCATCCATCCCCACATAAAGAAATATGAATGTTTCTGCTATAAATGACATCATTGCAAATACATGCCTAAAAATTGGAAGGCAGAGCAGTCAGATGAAATAGCTGGGAAATTATGGGAACCTTTGTAGCATTTCAATTTTATCAGATGGTCCCCGAAAGGATGTTATGGGCACTTTTTGAATTGAATATGAATTGTCCATACACGATACATGCCTGGTTGTGATTCTTGAACTTTCAGTGATGTTATGCCATGCGTAGTGTGACATGAGAATCCCACAGAAGAAAACAGTGAGAATTCCACTCAGGTCGAACAGCTGTATGTCAATCGTCAATCAAAATAAGAGAGGTTTTCAGCTACACAGTGAGATAACAAACAAGCTTCCAAGTTCATTTCTCCAGAATATATAATAACACATAAGAGAAGAATCCCACACGTGCGAATGAATTATTGAGCTTGGAATACATAATGAAACATAAGTTCAAAGAAATGTGAAGTGTTATGTACACTTTTTTACCTCAGCCACCATGTAAGACAGATAAGCCATTAGAACCACTAAGGAAATCTCGCGGATGCTTGAATGCCTGTAAGAGAGAATAAAATAAGACTTGTATAGGTACCATCTGAGATTCCCTACAACATCTATCTGAACTGTCCTAGCCCTGAGGGATTGTAAATATGCTACTAACCTTCCGAAGCATAAGGTTTTAAGGGCATATGCTGCCACAAGTCCAAACTGAAAATAAAACACGAAACCAATTTGAGGCCACAGATAAGTGAGCGGAGTATTCTGAATAATCTTTAGTGATATTATATTGCCATAATCGGTCACATGGTAAACTTACTGCAATTCCGAGAGCAGTGCTTGTAAAGAATAAGTATAGAAAATCTCCAATGACACGAAGTCCAGTCGTGCCATTAAGCTTACTAACATCAATCTTTTGAATTGCATTGAACAGGACAACTGATGTTGCATCATTTACCACTCCTTCCCCAAAGACTAGGCTGTACAGTAAAGGAGTTTCGTCTTGATGAAGAATCTACATAAGGTGGATATAATATCTCAGCAAATCCAAATACAGGAGCGGGTCACCCAAATGAAATGAAAGAGAACATCTAAAACATGACAAACCTGCAGCGTACACACTGTATCAGTTGACGAAAAAATTGTCCCAACAGCTGTTTCAAGCCAAAAGATTGATGTAAAACAAAAGTTGTCTACACGATTATACTGTTATATAGCATAAAAGTGTCAGTTCATATGATACAAATAGCTAATTGTTTCATCGAAAGGATTCTCGGTTCTAACCGAGATAGTCTCGCACATTCAGGTCACCAAACCCCAACTTCGGGAACAGCCACCGGGCTCCTAATCAAAAGTAACATGCAGAAACGTTCAGTTCTACAGAAATCCATAGTAGCTAGCACAATGCAAAATCAAACGTTGGACATTAAGTTAACGAATCGAAATAAAACTAGTATAAAATATATGAAAAAGAACAGATTAAAGTGTTACCAACTGTTATGATGAATACTGAAATGAAAACACCAATCACCCCAAACATCATGATGGTTAAGAAGTTCTGAAAAAACATTTTCTTCTTGACCTGGAATCTGCATTGGTATTAAATTAACTAGGTAAGCGAATTTGTCGCTAAAAGTTTCTATGAATCCGGCAAGCAAATTAATTAAAACTGGAATATTATAATCAATACGAAAGCTGAATTACCCAGCATTGAATATAATTGGTGGGAGGAGATATATAAAGAACAACTCTTCATTAAATCGTAGGATGTGAGAACTCTTTCCTTTGCTCACAAGCAAGATTATTGTTCCAGTTATGCATCCCTGTTTGAAAAAAAAAAAAAAAAAAAAAAAAAGGAAAAACACACATTAGACAATGGACATGCTTAGGCAGGCACCGAAACTATCAATCTTTCCAAATGCAAATTAAATATCCCCAATATACTTCTCAGCAGCTGGTCTATCTGAATTAGGCATTTCAAATTCATTAGCTCATTTTTTTACCTACATATATGAAAACTTAATTTTGTAGTAGACTAGGTGAAAAACAAAAAAATAAGGGTACTCATTAAGCTTGTTATATATGAAGGTCGTAGCCAATTGTTAGTACACCCATTTTGGTGAACATTAACAACGCACATTTTCTCAATTTGGTACATGTGCAAAAGTAACTCTTACTAAAACAACAATATATATATATATATATATATATATGTAGACCTGTACACATATCTCTCGAACTGTGATTTCTTGGTCTAGCGGAGGCATCCGCACACATGATGTAGTATTTAGTGTAAACTATAAATTGATGATATGGCTAAATAACATAGGGGAAAACAACGAAAATGGAGGTTAATTAGAGTATAGATTAACCTAAATATTCTAACCATTGAAAACCAACACACACGCAAATGAAATTGAAGAAAATGGGGTTAATTAAGTAAGTAAATACGATGATAATGGCGGTGATGGATTCGTTAACCCATCGATTTTCTTCGAACAAGTGGCCGACGACTAAGCAAAGGCAGAGAACCGCCACAAAGAGTGAGACTGGTATCACCTGCGCATGCCCCCGGGCCAAGTTCTTTGCAAACTCAGACGCTCCTGTCTCCATTTCTCAGCCTTCAACTAAAAATTAACCAGCTAGCTGTAGTACATCTGCATCCCCAACTAACTGACGTCGTGAGTATATATGACAACTGCAGAACTGTTAAAAACAGAGATGCTTTCCTGTGAGATAAACTGATCACTGTCTGTATTCTGTATTGTCTGAGAGAGAGAGAGAGAGAGAGAGATGAGCCGATGAGGTTTGTTGTTTTGCCTGGTAAACGCAGTTTTGTTGAGTGTTCGCAGTTAAGGTTGACACGTGGGGGAAAATTTGCATGTGAGTGACACGTGGAGGTAGCCCATTACATTAGTCTGGGGACTTGGATATGGTCAAATTATCATGCATGGAGATTCTGATGAGTTGAGAGAATCATATGTCACGTCATATCCCATACAAATCAGTGATCACTGTCACTGTAAACTGCAGAGGATGTCAAGTTTTCCGCTGGTTCATCGTTCATACTAGTGCAGCGGTGAATATATGTAGGTCTTTATTTAAGCCTGGATATTTTTTTGTCCAATTTGCTCGATTCCCCAATTTTTTGTTGTTTTCCTTTCCTTATGGTGCATTGTTGCTTAATAATTGGGACTGTCTAATTTTTAGACATTTTCATATAATTAGTTTGACAAAAAAAATAGAAATTGTTCAATATCTTCGATTAATGGTATTAAAATTTTAATATTTAAAGGAGAAATATGGTTCTTTTTTATTAGGATAAATGTTAGATGTTAAATTAGGTTGTTCATTGTGAAATGACAGGTCATAGGTTCGAATCTCGTGGATGGTGAATTCGATATCAAATTGAGTTGCCCATTGTATGGCTTAGCCAAACTTCTCATCCCCTTAATATAAATTATATCGATATACCAAAAGAACTGTTAGGTCACTAAATCGATAGAGACCAATAAAGGTCAAATCATCTTACCAACATTTTACCAAATGAGAAAAAAAAAAAACTAAAAAAATTAGAATAAAAATGATAAACTGAGAAGGGTGCTAGCATTTCGAGTCCAAATTTTTTGCATCCAAATACCCATGTGGCCCCTCTGTAGCCCCTCTAAATCTGTGACATGTTTCCACCCACTTACTAATCCTAACTCTATTATTTTTTTCTCTTATCCTTAAATTTCTGTTATCTACTATATTTTTGGAAAAAGAAATTGCAAAAGGCATACAACTTTTGGGCTCTTCCAAATATCCCTCTGTCGCACGACTCTCCTTCTTCCCCGCTATGGTTTCCAAAGTTCTCCGTTCCCAAGTCCAAGCATTGAATTATGGAGCCAAATATCCATATGCATAGAGTATACCACAACATTAGCGAAGAAGCTACTGTAAGTTATTATTATTATTTTTTTTAAATATTTTATTTGAAAAATGGACATGTGAAGAGGTTGAGATAGATAAGCCAGTGAAGATGGCTGTTTTTTTTCATTGTTGACCTTTCCCCAAATTTTGGTCTTTCATTCCATTTCGATTATGGTCTCAGAAGCATCACAATTAATTGTGCACAATCTTTCTTTTTACTTGCAGAATATGGACATCACAAAGAACTTTATGGAGTATCAAACTAAAGCACATCATAACCTGGATTTCGAAGGTGATATTTCCCTAAATAATTTTGTTGAAGGTGAGTGTGCATAGTGACAAAAAGTTAGAAGATATAACGGATAGTGAAAAGATTGTTGTGATTCATTCCAAAATACAAAAAGAATTCATTCCAACAGTTAGCTTGGAGTTTGAAACAGAAGTTCTAGCATATAATTTTTACAAGACTTATGCATATCATGTTGGCTTCGGCATTAGAAGAAGTAATGCACATAGAAGGGAAGACGACACGTTCAAAGACAGCCTTTTTGTTTGCTCTGCTTAAGGTTACCGTGGACTTGATAAACGTTATGCTAATGTTCAACATCATCATCTTGAGATTAGATTTGGGTGCCAAGCAAAGCTGCAAATAAATTCTCTCATACCTGGTAAGTATCATGTGGTTGACTTTGCTACCGAGCATACACATAGGACAACAAGTCCATCTAACACATATTTTTTTTAGAGCTCACGGGAGCATTAGTGTTGCTCAAAAAACCTTAGCTGATATAGCTGATAGTTCGGGAATTCCTCCAAAAGCAACCATTGGTTTTTTGAGTATACAAGTTAGTGGCCATGAAAATCATGGGTTTATTCCTAAGGGTTGAAGATAGGGGATACTGGCAGAGTGTTGGAATATTTGCAACAAATGCAATTGAATGATCCCAATTTTTTTTTTTATGCAATACAAGTGGATGAAGATGATCTGATAACTAACATTTTTTGGACGGATGCAAAAATGATGGTTTGATTATGATTATTTTGATGCTGTGGTATGTTTTGATACAATCTATAGGAAAAATAAAGAAGGAAGACTTTTGCTATGTTTGTTGGTGTGAATAATCATAAGCAAATAGTTATATTTGGTGTTGCATTATTGTATGTTGAGTTGCCTCAATTTTGATGTGGTTGTTTGATACTTTTGTCAAGGTTATGTTTGGAAATAGACCACAAACCATTCTTATAGACAAAGATGCTATAATGGCTAAAGTGTTACTTGAAACATGGCTAGAGACATATCAGCGATTATGCATTTGGCATATATATCAAAATGCTACGAAGCACCTTAGTAGTGTTTTTGAAGAGTTTAAGGATTTTTCCAAAGATTTTAGCCATTGCATACATGATTATGAGGAGGAAGAAGAGTTTATAAATGCTTGGAGTGACATGCTTGAAAAATATAATCTCAAAAGTGATGATTGGTTACGTGGAATGGTTCATATAAAAGAGAAATGGGCTTTGGTTTATGGACGACATCATATTTGTGCTGATATCACCACCACCTAACGTAGCGAAAACATGAATAGTTCTGTAAAGAGGTATGCCAATTACAAACATAATTTGTGGCATCTTTTTAATCATTTTCAGAGACCAGTTGAGGATCACCGTTATGAAGAATTAAAGGCCGACTTTGAAGCAAGTCAAAGTTCTTTAGCGTTGTCATTTCTGATTGAAATCTTGAAGCATGCAACTAGCGTTTACACACTAAAAGTGTAATGTATTTCATTCTATTTTAGAATGAGCTATGTAAAGCTCATGATTGTGTGGGCGAGTGGTACAGTGAGCAAATATGGACTTCCTCCTTATGGAAGACATGTATACCATATTGTCACATATGACTCAATCAACAACACCATATCTTGTAGTTGTAAGAAGTTCTAGTTTGTCAGAATGTTGTGTGCTTATGACTCAATACATTATGAACAGATGGACAAGAAACGTTAAGGATAAAAATGCGAAATCTACTTGCATGACTATAAGTGAAAGTGACCCAAAGTTAGAAGTAGTAAGGCGCTATAGAGAGTTATGCAGTTGAATATTCAACTAGCAACAAGGGCAACATAATCTCAACAAGCATATGAAATTGCTATAAGGGAACTTACAAACACATTGGCAGATATTGATGCATCCTTCAATGAAAACAAAATTCAAAAAGCACCTCAAGTCCTCTACCTAGCTGTTAATAATGTGCCTCCGCTTGAAAAAAGTATTTATGTTGATGGCGATCATAACACTAGAGTAAAAGGAATTAAAACTAAAGAAAGATCAATTAGGGAATCTAGTAGGCCAAAAAGTGCTTTGGAAAAGGCCACAAAAAAAGAAAAGTGCTAGAAAAAAGGCATTGCATATATTAAGTGCTCCAGCCACACAAAGTGTTATGGCTTCCACCCTCCCAATCCAACATGTATGCTTTATCTTTAATTAATTGACATGATTTCATAAGGATGCATTAAAATTAGTTACTTATTTGTATTAATTAACTACCATGAACAGACTGCTTGTAATTTAACCATGGGTGTGCCAATCCAAACTATGAATCAGTTACCTACAAACTTTGTTAAGGTATTCCTAAAGTTTCATTATCAGTTTTTAACTTGTGTTTGCTTATCATTTCTTTTTCTTCTTAATTTTATTGAGCCATTTTTTATTTTCTTTGTCCAACCCATGCACTGCATAGCTTCATGGTGGTAATAATTTAAACACAAGTTTTCCAGTCCATGAGCAAAATGTAATGCCTCCACATATGCAATTTAGACAACCATTTCAATTTGCTCAGGTATTATCACTTTAAAGTGTATTTAGTAATTCACCTTATCATTATTTTAAGTATGTTACTTGTTGCACATATTTTTATTTTTGTTGTTTGCCTACATATCTACGCCAACAAAACCACATGGGAGGCTATTACCGATGGCAGTTATCGGCAATGTTCCTCAAACATGACTACCTTATCACAAGTAATATAGTTAATCTAAAAACTTAAACTACTTTTATTTTGAGTAATTTGTACATAAACAATGACACATTTTATTTCATTTCATGTTTTATTAATGCAGACATGACTGGAAGAAGAACTAGATTTGCTTAGATCTCAATTTACAAGCCAATAAGGGTCATCATGTGGATGTACAAGATGATAAGTGAGATGAGATTAAACTTTGAGAGGAAAAGGATTGTAGCACTAATGATTTTGTCCATGTCTTTTTCAAAGAGTCATGCTAATATGTTCTAAACGCATGGTAGAGTCTGAGTGAGTAAAACTACTTGGGTTCAGGATTTTACTCAATTCTTGTCATATTTTTGTGATATTCGTAAGCTGACAAGCACATAAATTGTTGCCATCAATTTATTAATGCAATTTCATGACCTTTACTCATGTATCTAGTTTCATTGCTACCAGAGCTATTGGTATTTTCATCTATTATGATTATATCAAGGTATTGTGATCTTTCAATTTGTATTAGCACAGATTAGTCGATATCAGTTAGTAGTTCAGTTTCCTTGGATGAAACCATGAATTATTTGATAAAAACTCCAGAATTTGAACATACCTAAAGCCTCTTCGTTCATAGATGTTCATCACACTTCAATTGTAATTGAACACCTATTTGTGCTCGATTAAAACCATGCACAACATCAGTGGTTTCGATGAACGTTTTCATGGCGCTTCTCTACGCTTATACTCTACTTGATCATTTGTGGGAGGAAAGTCAATAGATGAATATCTTTGCACAGGCTTTCTTGGCTCCATGGTTTAGCTTTTGTTGTTCTATGTTGTGCTCAACACTTTGCACGTGAATTTTTGGC